ACTCACATTTCCACCTCAATCCATGTGGCCCTGCACTTGACTAGTACAAGCCTAGTGTGTGACATGCTGCAGACAGCACTATTCTCTGCGGAATGCCGTGATGTGGGAAGGATCCTGGCTCTCCCTTAGGCGGGGCATGGAATTAGGTAAGCAACTGCTGTACAGACCTTGTGTGGATCTGGTACAAATCCAAGTCTCTCGGGCAGTGATTTTCAACCAGTGTGCTGCAAGGATTTATAAAACATGCAATACCTGACTGTTTAGTCAGGGCACTGATATCTTCTCCCTTAGACTGTCAAAAAAAAAAAAAAATGACAACAGCCAACACAACAGCCATCTGGTGTGACTGAACAAACTTATACCTATTTTTTGTCAGATTGGCAAAAAATATAATGTACTTTTTGGTGTGCTGCAGAATAATAGTAATTAGTTTACTATGAGATGAAAAAGGTTGAAGATTGCTGTTCTAGGGGATCAAATATATGAATGTGTTTTGTAAACTATTAAATAAGTTCATACAAATATAAATTATGATTAATATTTATCTGTCATTTGCCCAACATCCTCATCAATTTCTTCACTTAGAAAGGGGGTGAGTAGATCATGACTCCGCATATATAATGTCACTATGAAGAACATGTTTAGAGATTTACTAAATGGAATACATTCTAATTTTTTATAATCCAGGTATATCTACAAAAAATCTGGGCTATTTAATGTCTATTTTAATAATTGATTTTTCATTTAGTTGACCCTACTCAAGAAACCCTATATGTAGATTAAGCCCTAGAAACAACTAGCTATATTCCCTCAGGCACGTTGTCTAATTTTTAACTGAGAAGTCAGAGATGGGTGGGTAGGTGGGAGGGGTAGAAAAGAGATGAGACAAAAGGGATGGACAAAGGGATCTGGGCTGCCCGCTTTAGCATCTACAGCCTTAATTCTCTACCCCTAGGAGAACTCTGGCCTTAAGCGAAGGAAGCTAGTTCAGAGCTCTACCTACTCACTGATTTCATGTTCAAATATACGAGGAAGCCAATATTTGCTATTTGAAAACAGCATTTCTAAAGCTAGGTTCAAAATTTGGAGTTCTGACTAAAAATGCCCGAGGACTTTGCAGAAGTCATAAAGGGTAACAATCAAGGAATGTTTGTTGACTGATTGATTGGCAGACAGGAAGACATAGCTTGGTGACTAAATAAATTAGAATCCCTTCTGGGAAGTAATCGCCTAACTAGGGACCACATTCCTCAACCTTCATTGCATCTAAGTGGAGCTGTGCGATTATTTCTCCCCCGTGAAATAAAAGCCAGTTCACGTGTGTCACCTTTGGGCTGAGAAGTAGGTGTAATTCTTTAGGATCTCTTTTTCCATCTATTGGTTGCCTCTGAGTACCTAGAGGCAAGAGAAGCCGCAAGACGGAAAGATCCAGGATTCAGGAATGATCCCATGGAAGGCCACCTCCCCGCCAGGAACAACCACATAGAAATCTGCAGGAGTAAAATAGACAATTTCATTGTGCTAAGCCACCAAGACTTTTGGGGGTACTGGTTGCTAAAGCTAGTGTTACTCTAATATAAAGGGCAAAAATAAAAAGCTCATGTTTTACCGAGTTAAACCTAAGATAACTAACAAAGCACTAAGGTGATTGAGCTGGCCTAGAAATAAATTTGCTGTCATTAGGCAAAAATGGGACATTAAAGTAGAAATTAATTTATAGGGGCATGAAGAAAGTTATAGTTGTGTTCTCCCTTGAGTTTATGATTTGTAAAACTCATACCTATCAGTGACTAAATATATTTTAATTTTGCTGTCACCTGTTCAGCTGGATATAGTCTGCTTTTCTGCAAGTAATTTCCCCTATTTATTCCTATAAGTGAATGAAATGAATAACGTACTCTATGTGGCTTTTTAGTGCAGAAGAGACTGGTGCAATATTCAAATTTTTTGAATAGGTTATTTCAAGGTGATTGTGACTTGGTTCAGAAGTCAAGTATCTTCCATGTAAAAAGTGAGTTGAATAGAAATTAAAAAGCGCCCCCCCCTCCCCCCCCGTGAGTGAGCTTCTATTCCAGTTAGGGCAGGAACCCTCTACAAGTTCAAAGTGAAACGTTTGGTTTGAGGGGCCATCTTGTTCCAGGTCCTTTAAAAGATATCAGTATTATTCTTTGTTCCAACATGAAAAGCTGCTTTGGGCTTAGAGAAGCATTCTTGCAAACTAATTGCATATCTTACAAAGCCCTTCCATGCTCAGCAGGAGGAACCACGTGCTTTTCGGTCTAGCTGATTCTAGCAAGATAACAGGCAGAACTGAAAATGAAAAAAAAAGTAAAAATTTCTTTTCTAAATTAGCGAGACACCATTTTACTTAGTAATTGCAGAAATTGAAAGGATTGGAGATTTAATTCCATGTTCATTCATTCTTCCATTGTCAGAATCTTTTCAGAGAGAAACCACTTTAGACAACCTTATTTTGAGGGTGAATATGGGGTGAAATGGTACATGAGTTTATTTCCCCTTTTCATTCTGAGAAGTTTGCCTACATCTTCCTCCTTGCATCATTGGATTACAGTGTATGTATATTCCCATTGTTACCCAAGTAATATTCTATTGCAAAAGTAGGATATTTATTTTTCCCCGTAGAAGACCCAGATCTAAAATGAGAAGTCTTTTCCTTCTTTTGGTTTAATAAATGAGTTTAGACTAAATGATCACACTGAATACTTTATGATTTTACCAGAACTACCTAAACTATACTAAGGGAGAATGAATATGGGGGAAGAAAACCTCTTTGCCTAAAAAAAAGAAGAACCCCAGTTTTATTAAGGGAGTGGCAATGGGTTCAGCTAAAAACACAATTATTCCAGATTCCCCTGCAGGAGAGATGGCATTTTTCACAGTTATGACCCATAAGAATTAAGTCAAAGTTTCCAGGGGATCTGGGAAAGCTCTTGGAGAAAGAGCTGATTCAGCTGTCACTTGCCTTTTACCTTTCACACTTCCTGTCCCCCTACCTGGAATGTAGACAGGATGCTGAAGATGAGGCAATCATTTTGAGACCACAAGGCAACAAATTAGACAATAAAAGCCACATAAGATGGCCAAGCGGAAGAAAAATGAGCTGAGGTCCCCGAGGACTGTGGGTTTGCCAGGACTGTAAAGTCCTACCTTAATGTCACTTGACCTTAATGTCACTTGACCTGACTTAATGTCACTTGAGAGAAACAAAACGTCTATTTGATTAACCTAGTGAAAGTTGGATTACCCTTATGAGCTGTCAAGCCTATACCAACCTAACAATTAGATTGTAAGGAGAATGCTAATTTTTTTATAAGAACAAGTTTCTTAACAAGGATTTCGAAAGCATTCATTTACTATGGTGATTATTAACCTGATATACTTATGAATTATTTTTTTACATTACTTAAAATGACTCCTCCAAGGAACTCTACTAGGCAAATAAAATATGCAACCCCCATAAATGGATTATCATGAATGTGTTTCAGCCCTCCCTTTATTCATTCAGCAAATATTTATTGAGGACCCAGTAAGCACTGTTCTAAGGGCAGGGATGCAAGGTTGAAAACAAATGCCTGACTAGAAGGGTCTCAATTTACTTAAAAGTAATAAGATAAAGTATTTTTTTTTTTTTTTAGAAAACTCTATTTTCCAATTCCTTGCTTCTGATGTGTTGTTTATTTCATGAACATTATTCTACAAGAGGAAAAGCCAAGCACCACAAAATAAAAGGATCTTAACCACAAACGTGGTGTCCATCACTTAATGTTCAGGACACTTTCATCATTTGAAAATTTAATTCAACTTTGCACCAATACTTTCATTAGCTATGAGAAGTAATTGAATGAAAGTCCTCATTCTATCCTCTGCAGAACTTGTTTGCCCCAAAGCAGTCTACTGCTAAGAAGACTAGTGCTACTCCGCTTTGGTTTTTGCCATTTCTATTATTTTAAAAAATAAAAATTACCTTTACACCAGTATCCAAGGGCACGCATTCACTGGAGTACAGTAGGCAAAATACTGTGAAGATCGGGAAAACCACTTCACACTCACCTATTCCTCTGTGTCACCTTAAGCAGGCCATTTAACTTCATTCTACCTTCGTTTCCTTAGGGATGAAATGATGGGGTGAAAACAGATCATTGTATTGTTCCATGGACCTAAAATTCTCTTATCTCCCTGCTCTCTTTTCAGTGTGACGCATTAGGACACAAGTTTCCCCACTAAGAGCAGCACATGAAGATTATTTTTAAATGATGCATGGCTTCTTCTCTATTTCTGTTGTCTCAGGAATTATGTCTTAGCCCACATCCCCACGTCAAACCACAGTTTTATATATAATTAAATAATATAATGCATCTTATATTAGTAGTACCATGCCACTATCCTCAGGATCAGCATATAGGACAGGTTTTATTATTTCTAGCTTTCAAGGACATGTGTTGTACACATTTGCGATAATTGAATAGAAATTAGATGGAAAGAGTATATTGTTTTTAATTTGCTATTTTAAAATATTCACCCCATCCTTGGAAATGAGCCTAGCAAAGCTTATTTCAAAAGCACAGGAATTGTGCTATTGCCCCGTTCTGAGGAACTGCTTTCAAACTCTAACAAAAGATTTATTATATGCAAAATCTGAATGCTGAAATTCAGATCTTCCTTTTTGGTATTGACAAAGGAAGTAATTAATTCACACATCTAACAGTTATCTGCAAACTACCACAGAGAGGCACTGGCTTTTCTTACTGCTTTCACAAAAATATTTCAAATTGAAATAGATTAAGCACCACTGGTTTAACCCACCCCATGCTGAATGTGATATATAAGATTTAAAGTGCCCTGACCTGGCTTGCAACAAGATGTTTAAGGAACATGAACACTCCTTACAATCCTTTAGTTATCATCCTGCAAACCAACTCACACCTCCAACTATTACTCTCATTACATACATACATATTCCCCTTACTCACCACAATGAGTTAAAGGCAGACAAAAGCTCTCGGTGGCAGCCTTTGAGTCATTACTTTGCGATACCATTCCCTTCATCTTAGGTGTCATGGCACAGTACTTTGCAGACAGCTATTCATTCTGCTAGGTTTGCTGCAAACACTGAAAGAGGTGTCTTGCACTCGCTGGAAGATTTAGCTTTTATGCTTCTGGTCATTCTTCCCACAAAAAGAATGAGACCAGTTTTGGAGCCATTCTTAACTCTCCTTAGAAAATATTTCAAAAGAGAAACACAAGAAAGACTTCATGATTTTCACGCAAACTCCCAGCCTGCCTGCTTGCCTGCTGCTGCCAACACTTCTAACTCTTGCTGGTGATGACATTCAGCGAGCTCCCCAGCCCCGATGCTTCTTATGTAAGGCTGTCTAGGTCAAGTGTAGGAGACACACTGCTGGCCTGTGGAAACTCATGGAACTGTTACCTTCTGATTAACACTTCAGGGGCTATGGAAGCTGGAGGAAGCTGAGCTTGTACTACATCTTTTGGGGGTAAATATTTTTGCATGATTCAGTGGTTTTTATGCTATCGCCTTGGCAGATGCCTGTCAGCCATGCTAAGAGGTGCAGGGAGAAATTACTGAGAGATTCCGGATCTGTTAGCATGCTTGAATAAGCACAGTCAATGTGTTAGCAATCCTAGCTGTAAGCGTTTAAGGAGTAAATGAATCATAAATTAGGGTTTGTTTATCAAGCATCATCTCTAACCATCAGGGAATGAATGTTGATTTGACTGTTTAAACTCTGAATGCAATTCATTTGCTCCGAGGTGCTGTAGAAGACATGATTAGATGTAGCTATTAGTTTAAAGAGATTTACTGCAGTTCTTGGCTACTGCATTGCTCTTGTCTGATCGCAAATTTGCTTCCCTTGTAAATGAGCTAGATGTTTTCCTGTATGTGTTTTCTGTTGTGGTAACATGATAATCTAGCTTGCCAAACCTGGCAGTTTTGTGACTTCCACAAATAATAAATCCTGCCTACTTAGTACCAAGGTGAATACTGCAGTGAGAGCGCCATTCAGTCCTAGCACTGAAAGATGTTGGGTTAACTGCCTTGATTCAAACTGTGCTGTGTTTAGGGGACTTGGAGGTATGATTGCAGGTTTGACATGAACAGTTAGTTACTCACTCTCTGAATCAAAGTAGAAACGTATAGCGCCGATTCTGTTTTAGACTCTCACACTGTGTCCTGGTGTGGGAATTCATTAGAATAGCAGGCTCTTAGTGAATGCTGCAGAAAAGCCTGGAGAAGTAGCAGGGTGAGATTGCAGCAGCAGTGTGATATGGGCAAGGAATTTTAATAAGACTTAACCAGAGATGATGGTACAGCAGATGGCACCAAATTTAGAACGTAGCTGGATATTTAAACAACGGAAGACAAACGCAGCACATTTGAGAGGGTTTGGCTTCCTGTGCGCCCTTGGGCAGTGAAGTTCAGTCCCTTGAACAGGATGCCATGAGGTAGTAAAGTGTAGGCTGTGTAAACTGTCTCCATGATTGAAGAGCGAAGTGGGAAGCTGAATATTCAGTCACTGGGTGCCTCTCAATGGGGGCACTGTCACAAGGCAGGTAATTAGAGCACCTTCACTAGGTAAACAGGTAGTTTTAAGTCTCTGGAATTTCTTGCATTCATTTTACTAACTTAAAGAAATGAAAATGGGTGTTACTAAAATAAATTTCTTATGGGCTACTTTTCATTCTATTAATCATGATAGAGGGTCAGATATTCTTCCCTGTGGAGCCTGTTCTGCACGTCATATAATGAGCAGCATCCCTGGCCTCTACTCACAAAGTGATAATAGCAACCCCTGGTTGTGACAATTAACCCCTTCCCCAACAATTTTTTTGTTAAAAACGTTTCTTTTTCAGACTAATTTTTTTTATTTTGGTTCTATATAGTATTTTTGATGCTGGTTATGAAAACAGTTTGTAACTCGTCTTCCTATAAACCATATTTTTTTACCATATTTTCTTAGTATACTCGTCGATGACTGAAAAAAGAACATTTTGTGAAAACGAGTATACACGTTTCTGCCGGGGAAGGGGTTAAAAATACTTCCAGACATTAACACATGTCTCCTGAGGGAAAAATTGTCCTTCCCAACAGTAGCACATTGATTACTTATGATGGGAATATACTGCTTAACATTTTATGCTATATTTAATTGATTAAGCATGTACATTTTCCCCAAATAATTTGAGGAGACAGTTATAGTTCCTCAGGGACGGATTTTATCTTACTGATGTCAATAGGCATTTTCCCCATAGACTTAGCTTGGCATAAGCGCCTCACCAGACCAGGTTTCATTCAGCGTGGCATACAGAATATTCCTCATAACTGTAACATTAAAAATGATGCATTCATACTTAGTTGTACTCACAATCTTTGAGTTTACTTACCTTCAAGGAAACACTATCAGTGCTCAAATGGTCTATAAGTGATTTTCATTTGATACTTTTGTTTGCCCATTGTCTAAATGGGATTCTTCTTTTTAGGCAATGAAGCCTAAAAAGTTCTCTTAATGTCTTCCTTTTTAAAGTAAAGGATTTGAGTTAAAGGAGGTATAAAGTTAGTTTTGCTTCTACTATCTGTAGTTTCTCTAAGGGAATTAGCTTTATTGATTAATCTTTGCTAACATGAGATTACATCATAAAGTGATATTATATTTTTAGAACCCACAATATTAGGCTAACGTTTATGGAGTACCTGTTCTAGGCCAGTCAGTGGTCCTCAACACGTCACCTCCCAACTAGAAGCATCAACATCATCTGGGAACTTTTTAAGAATGCAGATTCTCATGCCTCACGCAAAACTTGCTGAGTCAGAACCTCTGGGGTTAGGGTGGGGGTTATTTGATTTTTAACAAGCCCCCCAAGTTACTGTGAAGCATGCTAAAGTGTAAGAACCACTAGCGGGGCAGTACTTTGGTTAAATATTATGAAAAATAGGTTTTCCTGCATGCAATCAAATGTACATTACATGATAAAATTCTCTATTTTTCTGGTTGCCCAGATTTCCTAATGGAAGCAGTTCTGTGTTTTCAAGTTTTGTGCAATTTTGTATTTAGTACATCTTAAGCCTAAATTTGTCCATAAGAAGCTTTATTTTCCGACAGTTCCATTTTTTAGCTTTTAGAAGTTACATAGTGTGATGGGAAAAACACTAAAGGATCTATCTCTTCGATTTGCTCACTGTGTGACGGGGCATGTGTCACTGACCCTCTCTGATGTTCAGTTTCTCATTTGTATAAAGAAAGGCTGACCTAAGCCAGGGTTTCACAACTCGGCACCATTCACTTTTTGGGTCAGATATTCTTTCCTGTGGAGCCTGTTCTGCACGTCATATAATGAGGAGCAGCCCTGGCCCCGACTCACAAGGTGACAATAGCAACCCCTGGTTGTGACAATTAAAAATATTTCCAGACATTAACACATGTCTCCTGAGGGAAAAATTGTTCTTCCCATCCCCTCACATCTTCCCTCCCCCCACCCCATGTTCAAGAACCACTGGCCTAGGTTAACTCTACTATGTAAAGTTATATTATACTAAATAATACAACTGTATTATTTCTCCCTTTATTTTTTCAAAAATATATTTTATTGATTTTTTACAGAGAGGAAGGGAGAGGGATAAAGAGTTAGAAACATCGATGAGAGAGAAACATTGATCAGCTGCCTCCTGCACACCCCCTACTGGGATGTGCCCGCAACCACGGTCCATGCCCTTGATCGGAATCGACCATGGGGCCCTTCAATCCACAGGCCAACGCTCTATCCACTGAGGCAAACCAGTTAGAGCTTATTTCTCCTTTTAGAAGCAGACAGGTTAAAAATTACAAATAAGTAAGTATATGTCTTACCGGTATAACACAGGTATAAGCTGGGGCCTCTGCCCCTTGATGGTATAATTTGCTCAAATACCTACCAATTTCACAGTTGGGAAGTCCAAACGCCTTCTGCAACTTCACAGGGACTTAAAGTCTTACATTATCTTCTGTGTCCTGGAGTCCTGGTTCCATGTAAAAAGTGACCCAGATTCCAACTGTCACTAGTTTCCACCAGAAAAGTATGTAATTATCTATACCAATCATCTTTGGGTTTTAATGGATTTCACTAAGGATTTGGGTTTTCTCCCCATTCCCTCTCCCATCACCTTGCCCCTCCCTGCAAGATGTTCTGAGAGCTACAAATTCTTCTTCTCTAGGATACACAGTAGTCCGGCTTTTCACAGTTGTTAGAGCAGCTAGATGTAACTGCCCAAATCCATCAGAGTTCAGAAGATCAAGGGCCTTTGGTTTAGGGCCATTTCCCCTTCACAGAAGGCAGTTGGGGTCATATTATATCATAATAAAGTCATACAACTGAGACTGATATTGAGTTTAAGTTTATTTTCATGTATTTAGAAGTCATACTGAATGATAGCTCCTGGCTCTTAAAATCACATATTTCATGCTAGTCATAGAATTTTAAATTATATCATCCCATGAATTGTTACCTCAAACAATTCAGCAACTTAGTCCTGACTTTTTCTAAAGCTGATATGTATGATAAGAATAGATATGTCCACATGAACACATGCATACACACACTTCACAAGTTAAAAATTCTTTTTAATTCACTGTGCTGCAAATTCAAATTAAGTGTTTTTCTAAGATATCTGTGAATTAGGGACTTAATCTATAGTGTACATATAAAAATGTACCAGATATATATATATATATATATTTTAATTAATCAGATAGCTTATATGTAATGATTATATCTGTATTTCTAAATAATTTATACAAGATTTATTCTGAGACCCACAGCATCCTCATATGAAAGGTCCCATTACTGTTTTCATTTTACAGATAAGGAAAAAACCCTTAAGATCTCCAGATGCCAAATCTACTTCTCTTTTCACTCTTCTACAAGGCAAGACTCAATAGTGTATGCAGTTTGAACACTTTGGTGAGTACACTTTCTGTTTTTTGATAAATACCTATTTAAGAATCGTCATGCTCCAAAATCATTCAGATACATAAGGGCTGATATGTGTTACCAAGTCTTTGCTTTAGTTACTAAGATTAATACATTTCCCCTGACTTATCCTACATTGATGTGTATAATATACTTAACTAGAGGCCCGATGCACGAAATTCATGCAAGGGGCTTGGCCCCCCCCGCCGCTGCTGCTGCCTCTGCCTGGGCGCAGTGGCTGGGGGCCTCTGGAAGGTCGTCCATCTAATTACCATATTACGCTTTTATTATTATAGATTGTTCTTTCTACATGTTACTAATGTATATGGAATGACTTCAACATATCACTTATTATACTAGTAATCACATGTAATATATCACTTAATGTCTCAAAAATAACCACGAGGCTGGGAAAATTCCCCCTCCTAAAGGATGAGATTAAATTTAATTTAACATAAACTTGAGTTTTAGCAGAGTTCCTGCACTGATCCAGGCACCTGCTCAGTCTTCCTGAGACAGAGCCATAGCAACAGACCTTCTTTTTTCACTGCTACACCCAGTGCATGGCACAATGTTGGGCAGATACTGAGTCTCAGTACATGTTTACTGAATGAATGTTGCATAATTGTCATTGTTATCTAGTTCCATTATATTTTGGACTTTACATAACATTATTCACTAAGCCATTTAAATACCAACTTACAAATGAGATCTAAAAGGAACAATCAAATTCTAAAATAAATAAATAAATTCATTTATGGCTGCCATATACATGACTCTCAATCATTCATGCTACTTTTATTTAACTTGAGAAAAAAATTGTTTGGGTTTGATATAAAGACTTTCTCAGATTTACATCCTGAAAAATTATTTTCAACATCAAGTATAAATTCTTCCTTTAAAGTACTAGTTTTCCTAAACCAGATCACACTGGCAACTTAGTTTGATCTTAAAGTAAATACCTGAGAACTTGAAAGATCTGTTAATCTATCTTAGAATATTAACTCAGAAAATTTTATTAATAATAGAAGCTAAATCAAACATATTCAATAAGTGAAATTCAAATTAACTGATTATATATGCGAATTCCATTTGTCTGAAGCTGTCACTCAACTCAGTAGTAGAGTCTTCCATTCAGAGTGGAAGTTGGCAACCTACATCCCATCCCTGCAGTTAGGGATGTGAGCTTGTTGTCAGTTTCTTTCCTTTCCACTGGTTAGCTCCGTGACCACAGACAATTTGTTTAACCTCTAAAAATCTGTTTCTTCAGCTGCCAAGCAAGAACCTGACTATCTCCCTGTCAGAATTTAAAAGAGATAATGTATCTAAGTGGTTTATTACAGTGCTTTTCACAATATTAAAAGTATTAAGAAAATAACAGTTGATAGTAATATTTGGCATCACATACTCCCAAACATATCAGGCTGTCATAGGGAGTCCTCCTAGTCTTTTCTGAGCAACTAGGACATTGATATCAAAATCAGGATTTGGGACTCAAAAGATGCTAGATTCAAGGACTGAGGTTCAGAGAACTGACGAGCCAGGAAGTCGTGATTAGGCAGGGCAAGGCTAACCCATGATGGGTGAATACCTGGATTCCCTCACCCTGTCCCTAAAGATACTTTCCAAAATGCAATGCCCTGAGATAACTAGTCAGCCAGATGTCCACTTTTTTTCTAAAATGTCAGCCCCTATTCTTAAAAAATCAGATTATCAGGATAAATAATCCTTTGAGATATTTGAAAAGCCTAGGAAATGTAGAATTTTTTTTCTACAGTTATTAGGAGGACAAACAAGTATTACTGAAAAAAGAAAATTTTAATTACAGACTTTATTTATTTTGGAAAAAAAATAATTTGGACCTAAAGATAAAACCAAAACAATTTCTACCAAGCTAATGTGAATTTTTTTGACAACAGAGACTGAATTAAATAATTCCTCAGAATTTTTTTTCTAATCTTAATAGTCTGTGTAAATAAGTTTAATTCTGGAAAATGATCATACAAATAACAACCAAATCCAAGGTGATCCTATTTAATAGGCCCATTTAGTTTATGCATTGATAATTAATTATAATGACTCTTGATATTGACATTTTATCATTATCATACAGTGCATCGTTGGTTACATATGTCTCGTGATCTAGACCAGTGATAGCAAACCTATGACACCTCTGACACACAAACTCATTTTTTTGGTTGATTTTTCATTGTTAAATGGCATTTAAATATATAAAATAAATATCAAAAATATAAATCTGTTTTACTATTGTTGCAAATATCAAAAAATGTCTCTGTGTGACACAGCACCAGAGTTAAGTTAGGGTTTTCAAAATGCTGACACGCCGAGCTCAAAAGATTCACCATCACTGATCTAGACTTTATTTGATAAATATACTCATTTGTGAAAAATCATTGTTTCTTTTTTTTAATGTGTTTTATTGATTTTTTACAGAGAGGAAGGGAGAGTGATAGAGAGTTAGAAACATCGATGAGAGAGAAACATCAATCAGCTGCCTCCTGCACACCCCCTACTGGGGATGTGCCCACAACCAAGGTACATGCCCTTGACCGGAATCAAACCTGGGACCCCTTCAGTCCATAGGCTGACGCACTATCCACTGAGCCAAACCGGCTAGGGCCATTGCTTCTTTTTAAAATGACATTGTAGTTCTCTGACAAAGTGGTATTATACTTATTTTTATGTCCAGAAGAGTGAAGCAGTGAAACAGGATACCTAAAAGACTTGTCAATATCCTGTTAGGATTGTCTCATTTGGGGATACAAGAAAAATAGAACAGGTGTCAATCTTCCCTATGAAATTTCCTAAAAGATACTGTTACCACCAAATATTGGGGGAAGGGAAGGGATAGTAACAGAGTGTTGGTTTCAATTGGACAGTTTCTAGTGAAACCATTATAGAAATTTTTGTATTAGCACAGTCGGATATCAGAAAGAAATGTTTTGGTCTATAGATTTACTAAACATTTCTCCCTGACATAAACCACCCCTCCCACATGCACATCCACCTTGTCTAAGCAGGGTTTTAGGAACAAATAAACCAATTATAAGGATACTGCTAGTATTAGTCAGTGCCCTGACAAGAATAGATGGCTCCCTCAAACTGGTGGAAAGAAAAAAACAAAATACTTGGTTTTAGCTTCTCAGCACCATATCCTCCCGGTTTCCTTGTGAACAGAGTCCCACCTTTCTGTAGCAGGTGTGCCAGGCCCTGTGTGATCTGGCCAACTTCCCACCTATCCGCACTGTAGCCACTTCCACAGATCTAACCTCACATCTGTCTGTAAACAGGATTCCTCTTCTTAGACTGCACTTCCCTCTCTCCTCCACCATCTTAGTAAACTCCTATGGGAAACTCCTAGGTAAAGTCAGAACTTTTTATTTCCCAGTTAACAAAGAAAAAATGTGATAATTCTTACTGATAGCTTACCAACCTATGGCTGGTTGTCAACACCAATAGGAATCCCCAATGAGGAGCGCAGTGAAGAAGAAAACTTTATTCATTGTAAAGCGGTTCACTGATATCACAGCAGGGCTCCGAGGCAGTGCTGAGGTCAGGCCCCTCTCTGGCTAGACAGCTCTGTTCTGCTCCTTTTGGGCTGCTTTGCCCTGCCCTGCTTTGCTCCGGGGAGACATCTTCAGTGCTTCAGCTCAGCCAGGGAGATGCAGTCTTCAGTCTTTGGTGGAAAGGAAAGTATATTCTCCGAACCAGAGGGAAGCTGGCTGATAGAGACAGAAGTCTCCACTCCTGGTCCCTGATTGGTTCATCCTCATGTAAATGAGGACTCTAAATCCTCACAGTTTGATTGGTCCAAAAGGCACTGTCCTGATTGGACAGAGTGGAGTCACTCTGGTAGGTTGATGGGGGTATAGCTACACTGCTCCAATTGGATGGGGTAAGCCTCAGTCCTACTGGCTGAAATAGGATTCCAGGGACTCCTTTATAAGGGCTGGCTCAGATGGCAGACATACAGCACAAGGAGACAGTCCAGTGCAGAGGCACACAGTTCAGTGCAGGCTTCTCTCTGGAGTGCAGTTCATGTGAGAAGCCCCTGTGTAGAAATGGATGCTAGGCTCTGGCTGTTATTATTATTATTATTATTTAAATTTGAGCCCAGTTAGCCACCAGGAGCCCTTCTCATTAAGTGTCTTCTTTCTCAGGGTCCACATGGCAAAGGTATAGGAAACAGGTATCTTAATGCTATTGCTGCTGGAGTACAAAATGGTGTCAAAATTTTGGAGGGAAGTTTAATATATCTACCAAAGTTAAAGACACTTACCCTTCCACTCAGCAGAGCCATTTCTTGAGAATGAAGCCAACAGAAAAACTTGTACAAGTGGGGAAAGAGCTTATAAAGTGATGTTTTATACCAGCATTGTTTGAAATAGCAAACAACCCAAAAAGCAAAAACAAACTAAAAAACCCTAAAAATAATTGTTTATCATTTGAGGACTGATTAAATAAATGTAATTTTTTGAAAGTAAAGTGCTCTAAGTAATAGCAAGGTAAGAGATTCAAGATAAATTATGTGCATTAAACAAGTACTTTGTCAAGTCTGGAAAACAAAACAAAACATATATTTCAGATGGTTGGATAGCTATAAGAAATTTCAGAAAAGTTGCAACAAAGTTGTTAACAGTGACTGCCTTTGCAGAATGGGCCTGGGGAAGAGAAAAACTGAAAAGTTAAGATCCATAAAGGACAATTGACATTCAAATATCACGTGAAGGATAGGTTAGGAGTTTTCTCAGTGGAAGAAGGGAAGTGCCTGACTCAGACTTCCAAGCACACCTCCCAAAAGTGGAGGGAAGTGTCAGGGAATGGTGAGGACAGTGGCTGATTTACAGGTTCTGGGTGCAGAGAGATGTGGGTAGTCTTAAGGATCTGAGGCGGCTATGACGGTCATTGCCAACATTAGTACTTTTTCAAACTCTAATGTGCACAGGTATCACCTTGTGATCTTGTGAAAA